AGATGAGCACTTGATCACTGAGCCCCAGCCTCAGCCCCACCAGGGAATTATTTTTTAACCTAGAATTCTGGTCATAACAAGTCTTTTATAAATATGTTATTGCAATTGAAAGAAGATTCATTGAATTACCATCCCAACATTTTTAGTTTGATTTTAAGCTTATGATACTAATATTAAATGATGACATTTTAGATTCAATGCCAAGAGTTAAGAAACATTTAGTACACATCAAAAACCATTTATTCAGTTATATGAATATATTTTTCATTTTCATTTGATATTCAAGTGTATTATTTAGAGCCCTGAGTAGTTCAGATTGGCTGTCTGGTGTTCTAAACTCTAAATAATTACCTTTTAAAAATCTCATGCCTTTCTGGGGAGTAATTATTAGTTACATAAGATAGTTTTGATTTATTAAGTTGATGCTTTGAAAAAAGTTTGCTTTCTCCTTCTCTTTCTCCTCTTCATTTGCCTTCTTCCCTCTGTCTCCCTGTCTCTCAGATAAAGTTTCTACTATTGAGAACATCTCAAGTGGCCAGAACAAACAGGTTAATTTTTCAAAGTTCCTTTTCAAATATTGCAAGTTTTCTCTTCATATGTGGAAGAAACTACTCACCTCTTCCCCCTGCCCCTGCCTCCCCCCCAAAAAAATCCTGAAAGTAGAAGAGGGATTTTAAGGGAAAGGGGAGGGGACTGAGGGAAGGGGAGAGAGGAGAGGACAAGAGAGGACAGAAGGGAATGTGAACATGATCAAGACATGGTGTATGCATGTATGTAGATGTCTCAGGGAAGTTCACTAATTTTTACAATTAATATGTTAATAATTGTAATAATAAAGTTGCTCTCCTGGTATTCCAGCAGGGGGCGCTATTATAAAGCCTAAAGTCATACCTTTGACTTTTTTTTTTTTTTTTTAGGTTTTTAAAAAATTGTTATTATTTTTAGGGTTGGGTTGTGGCTCAGTGGTAGAGCGCTTGTCTTCGCACGCGCAGTACTCTGGGTTCGATCCTCAGCACCACGTAAAAAATAAATGAGTGAAATAAAGATATTGTGTCCAATTATAAAAATAAATATTAAAAAAATAAAGAGCTATTTAAAAAATATTATTATTGTTATATATGACAGCGGAATGCATTACAATTCATACTACACATATACAGTACAATTTTTCATATCTATGGTTGTAATCAAATAGAAATGATGGTGGAATGTGATAGACATCATTATCCAAAGTACCCAAAGTACATGTACGTCGTTCTGCTGTCTATGGTTGTTTTTCCAGGTGGTTCCCTTCCTACTGTGACCTATTTGCAAACCCATTTGTTTTGAATAATTTAAAGTCATTCCCCTTCTGCCCTCCGGATTATTAGTCATATGTGCTGTTCGTTAAACATTTTTTACAACATACAAAGGAAAAAATTACTTTCCACAGCCCTTGCTAATCCTTAGGAGATTACTGTAACAGTTCATTACCTACAGTATTTTTCAGACCTTTCTTTAGCTTACTACAAAATAAAAACATTTAAAAGTAAAATTTTCAATTGGTGAAATTTTAGATTTTAAAATAATCACTGACAATCTATTTGTCTTTTGCTGTCTAATCTTTTCCTTAGTTTTTTTTTTTCTCTTCTGAGCGAGTTACTTTCCTTCAAGACAGACTTTCCACTTCTGCAGTTCATAAGAGTCCAGAGGGGCCTTTTATGCTTGTGCAGAATCAGGGCTTGTGGTCAAGTGAACAAAGATTTGAGTTCAAGACAAGTTTGCTGCTATGGTCTCAAAGCTTGTGTTCCCCCAAATACATATGTTAAACCTAATCACCAATATGATGGTATTAGGAGGTGGGGAGTTGATTAGGTTATGAGGGCAAAGCCCTGGTGAATGGGATTAGTACCCTTATGAATGAAAAGAGGCCCCACGAGCTGCCTTGCCCCTCCCACCATGTGAGGATGTGGGAGAAGGCACAGTCTATAAACCAGAAAGCAGGCCCTTGCCAGACACTGAATCTGCTTCCAGAACTGAAAAGATACGCATTTCTGTCATTTATATCTCTCCTGGTGTAAGGTATTTTGTTAGAGCATCCTGAACAGACTAAGACAGATGCTATTAATTGCATTTCTGGACAGTGAGAAGAGGGCAATATTGATTTAGATAATAAGAAATTTAATATTTCTTTAGTTCAGTGAAGATTGTACAATATTCTAACAGAGAGATTATTAGGAAAGGAATGCTATTCCATGAACTCCTGGGCCATCAGAGACTCAGTGGGAAGTTTTGTGAAATTATTGATTTTTTTCAGGTAGTTCCCCCTGCCCCTATGCTATAACCTTGCAGCGGCTGACTTCCTCCATGGTATGCAACCCAAGAGACCAGAGCAGAGCTGAAACGCTTTTACACCTATCCTCTGGAGTCATGCACTATCACTTCCTCCACAGGTCTGCTTTCTTTTCCTTGTGGGAGGCACCCCACAAGAGGGCAAGAGTACTAGGAGGATCCCTGGGGCCACTGTGGAGGCTCCAAGAAGTGATCAGTGCCTAGATGGTATTGGAAGCCACGGGATTAGATGACATTTCCTCGGGAGCAAGTATTTAAAGAGAAGGATGGATCAACATTCAGAGGTTGCAGAAGGAAGTCTGAGAAAATGCTTCCAGTGAAAGTAATGTCTCAGGGAGTCCTGTGGGAGGAATGCTGAGAAACTAAGATGGCTAAGAAATGATCCTTGTGCAAACCCCTGTCTCCTTTGAGTCTTGCACCATTCTGTTTGGTTATAAGGAAAACGGATGTTATTTAAAACAGTAGCTTTTTGCAGGCACTTTTGAATACCTTGGAAGTGACATCGAGTCTTACTGGGGATAGGGACCTTGTTCTCAGGAAAAGACCTTGATTATCTCTCTGGGTGTGAAAGGTGAGGACCTCCTAGGATGTGTGCTGGAGAAATGAATGGAAGACCTGAAATAGAAAAACCAAGATTGATTTCAGAAAGCTGCACACTGAAGCAAGTCAGCTTAAAATGGCACAAGAGCCCTCTGTGGGCTTTGCACTCAGCTCTGGGATTCCTCCAGGCTTGGCTCATTCCCTCCCCTCTGCTCCCATGGACACTTCTGCTCATCCCTCCCCTGGTTTCCCCATCCCATTTACTATATATCTATATATCCCATATATATCTATATATCCCATCCATATAGTAAACGATGAGACACAAACATTGAGTACTTTCTAAGTACTTCCTAGGTTACTGGGGTTTTCATCTTGACAACACCCACTCTGTGAAGCAGATACTAGCATTGCTGTTATTTCCACCTTAAAGATCAGAGGTTTAGTTATTTGCTATTATGTATCAGGGTCAGGATTTGAATCCAGTCTGGCTGAAGAGCCCATATTATTAACCATTAAACCCTGTGCTTGTATTCTTTTTTAGGGTTTTGAATTTGGCAAGATCAAACCACCGTCTACTCAGGCTTAGACTTTGGCTGCCTCCTGGTCCAGCTCAGAACATGACTTCTGTTATTGCCTTGTGGCTCTGACTCATCCCAGTAGAAACCCCACCCTGGGCCCCACTGCTGCCAGCTGGGAGAAAGGAGAGTAAAGCAATATTCGTTCCCACCCTTGGGTCTCGTCACATGTATTTATTCTGTTTCCTTTCCCTCTCCTCTGCCTGGTTGATTTTTGTATGAAGCTTTTAATTGTTGCCTGACATATCGGCCACTTCTTCCTCCATGTGTCCTTTAAATTCCTTGTTAGCCTCTCGCACAGTGACACCATTCCTGGTAGAGGTCTACCTCTGCCCCCATCTGAGCTACTTAAGACGAGGATATATTTTACTTATCACTGAGCCTTCAACCTGGCATGGTGTAGGGTCTCAATGATTGTCTTTTCTCCCCCAGTACTGGGAGATTGAACTCTGGGTCACTCTACCATTGAGCTATATCCACTGCCCTTTTTATTTTGAGACAGTCTCTCATTAAGTTGCTAAGGCTGGTCTCGAACTTGTGAAATCCTCCTTCCTGAACCTCCCAAGTAGCTGGGATTCTAGTATTGGGTCACCATATCCAGTCAATGTGCTAGAAAATTAACAGGACAATTGTTATCCCTTGTAGTGGACAATATAATTTTTTGGCAACCGAAATGGGCTGCTGTAAATAGGACAGGACTTCTCAAAGAATCTTCTTAACTTAATCTTCAACCCAGACATCTTTGTGTTTTCTCCTTGACTATTAATATTTCAAAAACTTCTCTCTAAGCCCTTGACATTATTGTTGGAATCAAGAATGTGCACACTTCATATTATTGCCATTAGTCTTTTATTCAAATTAGCTCTATTAAAACAACACTACTTTGTCAGAAGTTCTGTGATTAATAAAAACAGTCCAGATCACCAGAAGAAAGTTCATTAAAAGACTATTCCAGGTCCAGAAGGTAAAGTAATTTTGGTGTGTTATGAAGATCAACATGGTTGCAGGGTTTTAATTGGATATTGTCTCATTAGAGCAGAAAGGACTCAAAGTGAGTAGGAAATACAAAGAGAATGAAACAGACCAAAATAGAGACGGAACTCAGCACCTCACTCTGAAAGCATCATTTCTAGTTGTAAATTGCTTGTCCCTAAGGAACCAACCACAGGGTAGATTTTGTGAAATTTTACATTACTTCTTCAAGTTCTTGAACTTGGGATGAGACCACCTCACCATTCACCACCTCCTGCACGATGGTCTTGATTTTTCGGGTTTTGTTTGGGTCTAACAAGTAAAATGGAATAAAGGGGGCAGATGTTAGTGTTTCAAAAATTTAATCCAAATTGTTTGACTTAAGCAACTAAATTATGTATTAGCTAATACAATCTATTAAATTTAAACTTTCAAAAGTGACTTTTAGCTGGGTGTGTTGGCACACACCTATAATCCCAGTGGTTTAGGAGGCTGAGACAGGAGGATCATAAATTCAAAGCCAGATTCAGCAACTTAGCAAGTCCCTAAGCAACTTAGTGAGACCCTGTCTCAAAATTTAAAAAATAAAAAAATAAAAATAAATAAATAAATAAATAAATAAATAAATAAATGCATGCTGGGGATGTGGCTCAGTAGTCCAAAAAAAAAAAAAAAAAAAACAAAATGTGTTTTTTCCCCCTCAGTGAAAATGAAATATATTCAGTATTACCTTATGCAAAAATGAATATTTTTCTTTTTGAAAATTTAAAAAGTGGTGTGGTACTCATAGTACCTCTTTGGAGAGTATGATTTTCCCCCTGTAGGCTTGCAAAAGAGTTTTACAATGCTATGGACTGCCCCGCCCCTTTGCAGTGTTGGGGATAGAATCCAGGGCCTTGCACTTGCTAGGCAAGTGGTCTATCACTGAGCTACATCCCAAAGTCCGGGACTGCTTTTTTTGCTGTAAGACTACACAAATGTTTTTCCTTGGCTGAGAATACAGGTATACTTTAGATTTAAATTGTTAATAATATTGTAATGTTCAAAGAGATCTTACAGTTTTAGTCATTAATAGATATGATTCCAATTTACTTTCAGTGGTTGTTATCTGCCTACCTTTTGATGAATCAATCGACTGTGCTTGAGATTTGGAGCCTGTCACAGATAAATTTTCATCAAAACCATCACTGTGGATAGATATCACGTGATTCCTCCTGGAATGAGAAGAAATAAGAATTTGCTGTTTGAGCCAACAATCATAAAGGTATGGAATACTATGGTCAAATAGAGAACATATTCCAAATGTCTCCACTGAAGGATGCACCCTGAGAGTAATCAATTGGTTCAATGCACTCTTGTTTCTAAACCCTGTCTAAAACGGGATCTCAGAGTGAAGAGACCTGGCAATTAATGGAAGATTTGGTTTCAGAAACGAGATTTTCCAGTTTACAGTTCTGAGTTCTCCTTCCCTAGTAGGAGCTGCTATCTCTTCTGGAAGATTTGTCATCATAGGTCTGAGGTGGTTCAGATGGCTCCCATCTCATATGTCATCTTAGCATCAGGTCGCTGATACCAGAAATTGAATGGTGTAGAGAATGGACACTAGCATTAAGTTTCTAAAGGAAACTTAAAGGTTCTCCTTTACCATCTCCTTCTGTCTGGGGTGTCTTTGCTCATCACAGCATTTTATGAATTATAAGGTGTGTTGAGGTGTGAAAACACTTTGCACAGTATTTAATACATCCCAGGCATCGTATTTCCTAAATATATTATTTTCTATCAACTAAAGAACCTTTTCTCCTTGCAGGAAAAATAAAACAAAACAAACAAAAACAAAACAAAACAACAACAAAAAAAAAAAAAAAAAAAAAAACAAAAAAAAAAAAAAAAACTGCATCGGGTGCCCACTATCTGTCAGCCCCAGAAAGTATTTCCAACTTGAACGTGTACACACCCTTGGTCCTCCCCGTCCAGCAGTCGGCGGTAGGTTTCGATCTCCAGCTCCAGGCGGGCCTTGGCGTCCAGCAGGCGCTGGTGGTCCACGCTCTGGCGCTCGGCATCTGCGCGCACCTGCTGCAGCTGGGCTTCCAGGTTGCCGATGAGCTGCTGCACCTGGGACAGCTGATAGCAGAAGCCACCCTCGGTTTCAGCCAAAGAGTCCTCCAGGGATTTTTTCTGCATGTGGAAGGGAAATGGCACAGACATGACAATGAAGGAAACTGAAGACAGGAGGGCAGCCAATGGTCTAACATTCTTTGGATGCAGCGTTATGTTTGGAAGTTGAAATGGTGCGAGTCCTACCATGGCGAGCTGCGACTGGAGCTCGATCTCCAGGTTTTGCATGGCGCGCCTCAGGTCGGTGACCTCGCTCTTGCTGGACTGAAGCTGCTCTGTGTTGGTGCTGATCTCCTTCCTGAGCTCCCCGCTCTGCAACAGCAAAAAAGGGCGCAGGGAGCTCAAGCCTGGAGCCTCGAGCTCTCTTTCCGTGACTGTTAATCAAAGCCGTTTGCGTTTGTGTTACCTTTTCAAGGAACCAGGCTTCTGCGTCCTTCCGATTTTGCTCAGCCATGGATTCATACTGTGTCCTCATGTCGTTGAGGAGCCTGGTGAGGTCCACTCCTGGTGCAGCGTCCATTTCTACGCTGACCTCTCCTGGGCCACCTGCCCGGCAACTTAGGAGCTCCTAGGGACAGCAAGTGAAAAAGCGAGGTGCAGGGGACCATTGTGATTTTAGAGGGCCCTAGATGCTTTTGCTTTTCTGGGCCTCTTTCATTACAACAATAGTAGAAATTATATATTTTTGATTGACTTGGTATAAAGACAAATATATCAATATATTAAAACTCTTTAAACATTCATCATATTCTTCTGACTTTAAAAAAAAATAGATATTTTTTCAGGCCCTTTAAGTGATCATAGGCCCTATATGCTGTGCCTGGGACCCAGAAGGACTGGTTGGCTCTCCTTTAAGAGGGTCCACTGTCTGTACAGGAGGGGAGGCTTGGTATGCATGTTGCTGGAGGGTTTTCAACGCCAGCTACCTGAGGGAGGGCTGCAAGCAGTACCCAGGCTTGCAGAGTTTGTACCAGTCATTGAAAATTGAGTAGAGAATCCTTTAGAAACTTAATGCTGGTGTCCATTCTCTACACCAGCCTCTGATATACATCATGGCCCATCAGAGTTCCACGTGTGGCATATATAGCATTACATGTTATTGGTAGACTTGTTTTTATCTAACTTGTGACATATTATATATATTTTTTCAAAATCACTAAATCAAGATAATTAAAATTCTTATTGTCATTATCTAACAATGAAAATGACAAAAACAGAAAGTGCCTCTGTTTTGTTAAACCTTAGTAGGAACCATTAGTAGCAGCAGTAGCAGCAGCAGCAATGTACACACAGACACATCCAAAACAAATGGCCACTTGAACAGGCCATGTTTTAACTCTAGATTTGCAAATCTGAAATTTTAATTTTGGGGTCTGGGAGAAAAAAAAAAAAAACAACTTCTGACCTCCTCATGGTTTTTCTTCAGGTAGGCCAGCTCTTCTGTCAGGTTCTCAATCTGCATCTCCAGGTCAGTCCTGGCCAGGGTCAGATCGTCCAGCACCTTGCGCAGGCCATTGATGTCAGCCTCCACAGTCTGGCGTAGAGCCAGCTCATTCTCATACCTGAAATCAGTTTAGGGATTCAACACAACAATTTTGACAAGGCCACTGCCAACTTTAGGGCTATTTGGTGCATGAATCGCTGCAACTGTTGGAAAATAGCAGCGTTGTAGTGTGTGATACAGTTTGTGCTTTTGTGACTCCCTTCCTTCCTCTTTCTAAGTGCATTAATAAATTGTTCAGTTGGAGAGAAGAAAAGGAAAAAAATTATGAGGTGATGCTACCAGCAATGAACCCCCATAGCACCCCGGGGAACAGAGTCCCCTTTGCTGCTGCAGCTATGAACAATAAATAGCAGCCCCTATCTCTAGGTGCAGTTCCTAATGGCATTCTAAAAACAATTGAAAATGAAATAATAGTTACTCTTTTTGCTTAATTTTCTTCATGATTTATTTTATTTAAAACATCAGTACTTTTTCCTTAGCTTTTGACAAGATCTTATAGGTTCAAGCCATCATCTTCCTGTGTGGAAATTTTGTAATGCAAAAAGCTTTTATTCCTTATGTCTGGAAGGATGGGATATGAAAAAGGAGATGGAAATATAAATAAAAAGTGGATGGTTAATCTTTCAGTTGTATGTGCCATCAGGAAAACAACTGTTTCAATGAACCCTTTGTCAAAAACATTATTAGTTAATTTTGATAACATTGAAAATTCAAGTTTAGGACATTAGTAGAATTATCATGTTGAATTATGAGTCATTACAACTATGGTGATCCATAGCCTGAGGAATAAGCAACTTATTTTAAGTGTGTTTGATTCTAATTACTTTTTAGAGTGTCCTATGTGCATTTGCCAAACACCAAATGTATGGAGAATGTGAACTTCAGAAGATTTGAAAAATTTGCTATCACTGAAGACAGGAAAATAGGGAATAAAAGGACATGGTAGGGAAGGTAAGTTATCATCTGTCTGTTTTACTCACTTCATTCTGAAGTCCTCGGCAGCCAGTCTGGCATTGTCAATCTGCAAGATGAGCTGGGCGTTGCCAATGTTGGCAGAAATGATCTGGCAAAATAAAGGGAGACATGGAAAATGAAGTTCTAATATGCTACTAGTTTACAAAGATGTTTTTGACACAGAGTTCAAGTGGTAATCTTAAATGCTGGGTTTCATTATCAGTTTAAGGCAGTTTCATTTTTTTCCCTAAGGAAACCTATTTATAAAATGATATTGAAAAATTAAACATACATTTCCTAGGATGAGAGTAGAAATATAGTCACTATATGGGAAATGATAGTTGAAACTTTCTGGTGCAGGAGATCAAACCCAGGGCCTTGCACACATTAGGGAAGCACTATGCCACTGAGCTACTCCCCCAGACCTCTAAACTTCTTGGGATGAAAAAATTCTCCAAGTACAGTCAACCTGAAAAATATCTAGTAGGTAATTTTCACTGTAAAATATTATAATAATAAAAGAAAAATAATTCCCAAAGCCGCCCCAGAAAACATGTTCTTACCTTATTCCTGAGATCTTCAATCACTGGGTAGTATTTACTGTAATCATTCTGTGACCCTGAGTCTACAGTCCTAGTCCCTCGTGTTTCATACCAATCTCGAATTTTGTTTTCTAGATCAGCATTAGCGTCCTCCAGAGCTCGAACCTTATCCAGGTAGGAGGCTAATCTGTCATTCAGATTTTTCATGGTTTCTTTCTCTGATCCAGAAAGAAGGCCTCCATCATTGCCAGAGAGGACAACCAGAGAGCCACCTCCTAGGTTTCCCCCCATCCCCATCCCCATCCCTCCTCCAAAGCCACCTCCCAGGGATCCTCCATAGCCAGCGCCCAGTCCTCCTGCCAAGGAACTTCCAGAACCACCACCAAGGACAGAACTAGAACCAAACATAGAAGCAGCCGAGAAGCCTCCTCCGTAGCCCATTCCAAGGCCATAGGCGCTTCCCCCATAGCCACTAGCAATGCTGGAAGCAGATATGCCTCTGGGTCTGCCCGACATCCCACTCTGAGAGGACAGCCGCCTGGACAGCCCAGAGGTGCGCACTGAGAGTGACATGGTGTCGCTGGAGAGACCCAGGGCCTGGGGAAAGTGGTGGCAGCTGGAGAGGAAGCGTTGCCAGCCAGCCAAAAGGGCTGACCTTTTATAGGCTGTGAGATGGGCGTCGCGGTTGAAAAGTTCACTGTCCCCATTCCAAACAGGGAGTTGCCCCCAACTTTTTGTTCCCCTCAGCAAGGGAATGATTCATGAATAGCGAAAATTCACTGACAGAGAAACAATTGAATAATCATTTGCATGAAATATCTGTTATACCGAAGAGAAAGCTGGGTGGAGTGGAGATAGGTTGTCATAAGAAATTTTTTCTTCTCCAAATCACTCTACTCCCCATTTTCTCCGCACCGTCCAGCATCTCTGGCACAGCAGGAAAGCGACCGGTGACCGTCGGATGGGTAGATTGATGAATCCTTCCTCCTAAACTTTAAGCTTCCAAGTGTTTCACCCCTCTTTCCTGTCTGTTTCCTTTGGAAACTCATCATCAACCACCCAACCATGATCTAGAATCTCTTTCTAGAATACAGCTTCAGAAGGAACCTGCTGGCTGAAGGCGGGGAACAAGTGCATTTCCCAGGCTGATTCTGGAATTTGAATTTTCAAGATTTTAAATTAAGGTGTTGTATGATTTCCCTTTTCTGAAAAGAAAGAAAGAAAGAAAAAAGACCGATTATACACAGAAAAGTTTTTTTTTTTCCTTAGAATATTATGATATTATATTTGTTCCAGCAGTTTTTCCTTTACCTAGAATTGACCTTGTAAGCTCTTTGGAATCAGGGCCTTGTCTCGCTGCTCACGGCTCAGCACCCTGCAGTTTTATGTTTATTCCTTCAACAGCTATTTCTCATCATAGTTGCTCAAGAAATGTGTTGACTGGTTGAATGGATTGTGTAGAAGATTTTATTGGCTTTATCCATAAGGAGAAAGAAGAAGTTCACTGTCCACATCAAGAAATGACTAAAATTCCAAGTTTAAGAAGCCAAATCGTTTTAGTTGCCTATCTGACTTAAAAGGGATAAATGTTTATAGAACAAACAAATGTTATCTTTACATTTTTTAGAGAAACTGCTCCAAAGAATTGTATCTAGGGTCCTGATTATTTATTTATTTTTTTAAGGAAAGTTCTTATTTTACTTTCTTTTTTGATATATTATTTGCTGTTGAAATTGATATGGCTTCTTTTTTTGCTGTAGGGGTTCTTTGATTTTTTTAAAAAAATTTGTTCTGTATAGATCTACATGACAGTAGAGTGTATTTTGACATATTAGACAATATGAAGTATATCTTAGGATAAGAAAAGAAATTGACATGGCTTAGATTTGAGCATGAAAACAGTAATGTTCTGATGGGAAGTGCCTTAACCCTGAAAGAAGCCTGTTTTCCTACAGAAATTATAGGTAACTGGAAACCTATTAGTCTGATTCTAGGATAGTGGGAGGTCCTTAGGAATGTAACTTGTGAGTATCTATCTCAATTGGTTAAGAAAGAGTAAGGATTTCTTTTTCATTTTTTTTTACATGGATGATGGTCCAAGTCTCTGTATTTTTCATTGTAAAATAATTCCAGTATTGTTTTTTTTTAAATATAAGCTCTCTCTTCCCCACACCCGCCTCTTATGTGTATGTACATACTAAGTAATTACAGGAAATGTAAATATAGGTGTACCAGTGATTGTGTATATATTTTAACATAATTAGTACAATATAAAATTTTATAACTGAGTTTTCTTTCTTAAGACTATATAATTACCATAATTTGAATTTTAAAAAGGCAGGTGTACAGCATGATTGCAGATTCTTGGAAATTCTTTGCTGCATTCAGATTTCTAAATTCGATTTTCTCTGTATTTGAGGAAATAAGATTTTCTGTCTAGATGACATCTTTTTGCAAAGACACATATACTAAATTTCATCAATAAGGCCTACATTGACTGAGTATATTAGGAATATGTAAGTATTTTAACTAGAGTGGATTTAGTGAGATAAAATGCATTAAAATTATTGTAAAGATAGAGTTCCTGCCTCTTAGGAAAGAGTAACTTTCTGTTCTCCCAAAGGGACCTTGGTTTTCTTGTAGATGGCTACTGAAAACGTTATCATTTTGGTGTATTTGGATTGAATTTTTCATTTTATCTAAAAAAATCACTAGTATTATAGATTTTAAAAATAAAAAAGGAATTCTTATTTGATTTATAATACATACTTTGCATGACAAAGAAGACTTTCAGAAGCCTTTCTATACATTTGAAAGTAGAGATCAGGCTACTGGCAAAGCACAATTTCTCAGCAATATTATTGAACACCAGTGTGGACATTAAGATGCTACTTATTCAAAACAATTAGTTTTATTATAGCAAATATTTGGCCATTGTTTATTATTTTGCTATAGGCATATGCAGCACTTTTGATTTTTCTTGACTAAAACAATAGCTTAATGTTTTGTGGATATTTTTCTTCAATTGCAGAGATAACAGGAGGAGTAAGCATATGCTTGTCGCTCAACTTGAATTAAGTCAACATGGTTTTGGAGAATTAAATCAAGTATTTCAATCAAACCAACATGAAAGTATTCAGGCATTGGGTCTGTGGTTAGCTCCATTGTCAATGTCTAGTCCATTTGCCCAATGTCTTACACAAAATCAGCATTCAATAAATACTTGCTGAATTGATTTTTCTCTTGATTAATCATGAATGGGTCATGAGTGTGTGTTATGTATAAGGAAACTTTTCCAAAATTAGAGAAGAGAGTATTGACATAAAGGCAAGCTACATGGTATATTAATTGAGTATTAACAGATTCCAACACACTCTACAAATAGGTTTGGCTGTTACCCCCATCCTGATGTTAACATGTGCATTCACACACACTCTCAGAAACAAGCATTCAGAGGTCCTTGCTGGGTGGCAGTGTTCAGGTGTCCCATGAAGAGGGAGGTTCTGCAGCCGTAGGAGCTCCCAGAGAGTACTTCTTTGCTGGCCTTTATCTCATTGGGGGTGAGCCTCACAATGGCCAATGCTTGTGTTGCCATGATAGAGTGAGGACTGCAGTCTGGATTCCTCCTGGTTCAGAACCCAACCCCATGCACCCAAGTGTTCAGGTATTATCTGCCCTGATTTCAGCCTCCCTGAAGATGAGTTTTTTTAATCATTTGTAATCCCAAGCCAGAGTTGGCAATGCCCACTGAGGATTTGGGGGTGGATGTGGAGGGTTGCACCTGAAACCCATGTCAAACCTTCATAATGAATGCTCAGGATCAATTCTGGTAAATGGAAGGACTGTTTCAACATCTATTCCCCAACACACACACACACACACACACACACACACACACACACACTCTCTCTCTCTCTCTCTCTCTCTCTCTCTCTCTTTTAATCACTTTCCCAGGGCAGATATGCTGAATCCTAAGGGATATATGAGAAGGCACATGTTTTCCCTCAACCTATACAAATCACAAAGAGTAAACAAGTGGAATTTCTAAATAAAGGGGTTTTAAGCAAGAGATCTTCAGAAGTTACACATTCACTAGGAATGTGGGAAGGAGGCAGCAACCAAAGGCAGATGGCTTGATGAGAGAGTCCATTATCCATTTGTGTCCTTTCTTTAGAGAACAGAAACTTGTTAAGTGGAATTCCGTATAGAGACTTTTACCAAGGATTCCTTAAATCTGTATTACAAGCATTTTGGCTGAGATTGTCCTTGTTTGAACTGTTATCATTTATTGTGTACTCATTGCTTCCCAGATACTGGGACAAGCAGATCACAAGACATTATTTTTTAACCTTCATGGTAAATTCTTAAGGTGCTGTTTTCATTCCACATTATGACTGCACTGAGGGTCAGGTTATGAAGGACTTATTTAAGACCACAGAGCCAGGAGTGGCAGAGATAGGATTTTGAGTCTCAGCTGGGCGCAATGGTACATGCTTGTAATTCCAGTGGCTTGGGAAGCTGAGGCAGGAGGATCCTAAGTCCAAAGCCAGCCTCAGCAACTAAACAAGACCCTGTCTTAAAATAAAAACCAAAAAGGGCTGGGGATGTGGGGATGCGGTTCAGTGGTTGAGCACCCCTGGGTTCCATCCCCAGTACCACAAAACAAAATAAAACAGGATTTAGGTCTGCAGTGCCTTTTATAGACAATAAAACTGTGCTGCTGACAGTGAAAACAAAAAGGACACATGGTGACTCTGACCTCCCTAACTGTGAAGCCAGGTTTCTGCTCTGTACATCAAGCAGGTACTCTGGTTCCTGCATTTCATTTCATTAATTAATTAAATAATTTATTTATTTATTTATTTTTGCTATCATTTTAGACAAATTTTAATGAATTTGAAATGAATTTTAAAACATTTTATGAAGGTATATGCTTTTTTAAAAAATTATTTATTTATTTTTATTCTAATTTGTTATGTATGACTGCAGAATGTGTTGCAATTCATATTACACAAATAGAGCACAATTTTTCATATCTCTGCTTGTATACAAAGTATATTCACACCATTCATGTCTTCATACATGTACTTAGGGTAATGATCTCATTCCACCATCTTTCCTACCCATATGCTCTCTCCATCCCTTCCCTCTCCTTTGCCCTATCTAGAGTTCGTGTATTCCTCCCATGCTCTCCCTCTCAACTCCACTATGAATCAGCCTCCTTATATCAGAGAAAACATTTGGCATTTGGTTTTTTAACTTCACTTAGCATTTATCTTCTCTAACTCCATCCATTTACCTGCAAATGTCATGATTTTATTCTCTTTTATTACTGGGTAATATTCCATTGTGTATATTTACCACATTTTCTTTATCCATTTATCTACTGAGGGCCATCTAGGTGGGTTCCACAGTTTAGCTGTTGTGAATTGTGCTGCTATAAACATTGATGTGGCTGTGTCCCTGTAGTATGTTGTTTTTAAGTCCTTTAGGTATAGATCGAGGAGTGGAATAGCTGGGTCAAATTGTGGTTCCATTCCCAGCTTTCCAAGGAATCTCCATACTGCTTTCCATATTGGCTGCACCAATTTGCAGTCCCACCATCAATGTATAAGTGTTTCT